CAGCCCAGCAAACACAACCGTAAAGGTTCTATAATGGCCCTTTATAGAAGTAATTTTAAGGTCATTTTAAAGTCAAAGTGCGAAGAAATGGATACAAATATTGGAAAAAAATCAGGTCCCTATTGGTTTTTCAGGGTCGCCGAAATTAAATAAGGTTAAAACCCTTTTTTAAGATCATTCCATTTCAGGTGGTCACTGCATTTGTGCTCTCATGAAAGTTTAAACTACTTTTTCACACTTTGACCTTGAAATAACCCAGAAATGCCTTTGAAATAACCTCTGGGCGACCTTTCCAGGTCAATTAAATGCTAGGTTTTTAAATACTTTCAAACACTTTTACACACTTTTACCTTGAAATAACCTCTGGATGACCTTGCCGGGTAACAAACGACAGTTTTGGATTCTGCGATCCGAAAAGTTTAATATTTTAATTTTTTTTTCTAAGCAATTCTTCTTACTTTGACCTTGAACCTGATGTGATAGAGGTCAATTGACCTCGGATACGAAATCAGCGACCCCAAAAACCCCAGGGTGCTCTACTGAGGTCTATTGATACTTCTTATAAGTATCAAATGTTGACCTGTGTAATTCACTTAGGGATCAAATAGATTTGATAAACATAATAAACAGTAGTAATGGTAAATCCATGAAAAATCAAACGAAAAGTTAGATATTTTTATTTAACGCTTTTTAATTTTTAAAATTCGTTCATGGATTGCCAAGTTTTAAAATTTGTGAATTTTTGAATGGATTGTAAAAATTAAAAAAAGGTTGAATAGAGAATCAAAATACCTTTCAAACAAGGTATCACAACCCCCTTATTCTATTTAGTCCTGCCATCTTGGCACTTGTTAGGCAGGCAAATGTCAATTTGACAACTAAAAGTAGTATAATATTCTTGAAACTGGTTTTTTCCTGACCTCGATATCTTTCTTACTTTGTTATTTATAAATTATTTTTTTCAAATAACAAAACTACAGATAATGTAACTATTTTAAAGAAATAGTTTAAGTATCACACATAATATAATAAATAATAATATAATAAAACCAATTTTTTTATAAGAACATTATCCGCGCCTATTACTAATGCAGATCCTTATCGTGGTAAGAATCGTTGGATGAGGCCGATAAAATATAAACCGAGTAGAAAATACAAAGCGATGTTGCCAAATTAGTTGAAGCCATACTATACTAAACTCAACAAATATATACACGTAATTTATACGCAAATCACGACTGCAGCGCCAAAATGTATGAACTAAATTATACAATTTTTGTTATTTAACGACATTAGGACCTCACTAATTTTTTAAGATTACGCCCTTATTTAATAAAAAATAATAGATTTCTATAATTTTTCATGTTCAAAACTTCCATTACTATATCACAGATGTCACTTAAGTTAAACATTTTAACCGCAGACAGTAAAAATTGGCAAAAACATTACGGACTCAATATACTGAGGCCGTAAATCAGCTGAGGCCGTAGTGAATGGCGGCTGCATGTTAGAAGAGGTCGCATTGTTAGTAGAACAAATATATATATGTATATATGTATATATGTATATATATATATATATGTATATATGTATATATATATATATGTATATATGTATATATGTATATATGTATATATGTATATATGTATATATGTATATATGTATATATGTATATATGTATAATAATAATAATAATAGTAATATTTATTGAACAAATTTACAAATTTTACAAATTCGTAATTTAACAAGTATATATATAGTATAAAAAGTTCGATAAATAAACTTTTTTATTTCTAAAAGAAATATGGTTATTGACAATTATCTTAATAAACAATTGATTTTTAATAACGGGTATGACCCCCTCTTGCCCTAATAACATCCCTCATACGATTAGGTATAGATCAAGTTTGCTATTGTTTCTTTTGGGATATTAGGCCACTCTTCTTCTACCAAAAAAATAAGCTCTGGGATCAAGGTTGGGGCAGAAAGACTAACTCAAATTTTTCGTTTTAGCTCATCCCATAAATGTTCGATCGGATTTAGATCTGGACTGCATGCTGGCCACTTCATAACTCGAAAACCGACTTCTCTAATGTAATCCTGCACGATTCTTGCGGTGTGCGGCGCATTGTCAAGCATAAAAATGAATTCGTCTCCAATGTAGTACACGTAAGGTACCACATGAACTGCTAAAATGTCCTCGATTTACCTAGCACCCGTTAAACCTCTCCATTGACCACGGTCGCCCCTACCGATGAAAGCACGGTCGGTTCGTGCTTCCATAGAAATTGCACCTCATATCATGCAGGAACCACCCCCATAATCAATCCGCTCTTTAATGTATCATTCTGAAAATTGCTCTCTTGGTCTCCGGTACACTTTTCTTCTTCGGTCATATTCTGGTCTCATCTAAGATCAGAACAGACCCCCATTGTTCCAATGTCCAATTCAGATGATTCCGTGCAAAAGCGCAGTAGTGCTTGACGCTGAGTGCTGGGGTAAGTTTTGGACAAATTGCAGGTGTTTTAGGAGTCCAGTGGACAGTAAGACGAAGACTGCGCGAGTCATATCCAGTTGTAGGGAACAGCTCGCTGAGCTGGGTAAGTCCATTTTTGAATAAAGCAATAACTTAGGCGGCTTTTTGCGTTGTATTATACATTAAACTAACACTCTTAAAAACCAATTAAATTATGAAAAAACAATGAGTACAAATTTAAATTGCAAAGGCAATAATTTTAATATTTGACCACTTTGTTGTTTTCGTTGTAACCACCACATAAATACAATTTATTTGTTTACCGGTTGCTACGCATAAGAACGATAATCACTTTTGATAAATTTAAACTCATATTTAAGTCTTTTAAATTGTCTTTCAAACAGCGTATTTCTTCTTTTGATCGGATAAATAGTTTAAAAAAAAATATAGTTCAAGTCAAAAGTTTACAGTGGACCGATTTCTATACACGCAAGTTTTATATAGGTATCTACTTTAGAGTAAACGGCAAAGTAGAAGGGCCCAGGTAGGTGGATCCAATGAGTGTTCGCGCCGCATGCTTCAAACCTCCAGTGGCGAAGCATCAGGGTGGCTAATTAAATGACAATTTATGGTTTCAAAAATAAATATATAAGTTAAAAAATAATTTTCTGATAATAGTTTTTATTTTAAAATAAAAGCGATCAATTAATTGTTTTTATTTAGGATTTTGAAACAATAACAAATAAAATGACAATGTTTATGGTTTTAAAAATAAATAAATTACCTACAAAAGTAGAAAAATGGTTTTGTGATAATAGTTTTTATTTTACAATAAAATTGATCAATTTGAGTGTCGGTAGGTTTACCGAATAACACAAAATAATTAACTTTATAATAATTGAATTTATTGAATTAATTTTACAGTTATTGTCAAAAGCAGGAGGAGCCCCCCGCGGAGACCGGAGGTGTGTCACGTAGGGAGGGTGCACGGCCGTGTCATGCAGCAGGGCAGGAGTTGGGGCTGAGGTAGTCGCAGGGCGAACGATGGAAGCTGGAGTTGGTGTGAGACTTAGTGCAGCGTCATCATCTAGAAGGAATGCAGGCTTTACTCGTTCCACACTCACACGAACGTCAGAGCCTTTGTATTGGATGGTGACGGTCTTGGCATCTCTACGTTTGATTTTATAGGGACCGCTGTATGAGAGCTGCAGAGACCTTCGCACGGTGTCATCACGCAGAAAAACGTGGGAACATGTTGTAAGGTCCTGGAAGACAAAAATTTTAGGGGTAGCATAATCAGAGGCGGGTACAGGGCAGAGTTCAGACATGCGCTGTCGCAGGCGTACAACATAGCTGGCAGCATCTTCTTGGCGTTGGGGTCCGACGGGGCGAGCCAAAAATTCGCCGGGCAAGCGAAGTGGCTGGCCGTAGACGAGTTCAGCTGGAGAAGCGTGTAGGTCTGCACTGCGGAGTCCAAGCAACACTATTGGAAGAGCTTCAAGCCAAGATGCGCCGGGGTGGCACATGAGCGCTGCCTTGAGCTGACGGTGAAATCGTTCAACGAGGCCATTGGCGCTGGGATGGTAACTGCAGGTGCGAGATCGTTCGATACCAAAAACAACATTGAGAGCTCGGAACAGGGCAGATTCGAATTGGCGGCCTTGATCGGAAGTAATGCATGCAGGAGAGCCAAAACGGGAAACCAACACATGACCAGAGCTTTCGCGACTTCTTCGGCAGTGATGGTTTGAGAAGGGTAGACTTCGGGCCATCTGGTGTACCTATCTACCGCAGTGAGACAGTATCGATAGGGGCCGGCTGGAGGAAGGGGTCAATAATGTCAATATGCACATGCTCGAATCTGGAAGAAGGCAGGTCAAATTTTCCTAGCGATGGATGTGTGTGCCGTGAAACTTTGGCACGCTGGCAGTGTTGGCAAGCACGTGCCCAGGTACGACAGTCCTGCTGTACACGTGGCCAAACGGAAGTTCCGGAGGGCGTAAATTCTGTCTGGAAGAGGCCTGGTACATGCAGCTTCATATCCAAGAAACTGCACTGCTGGTTTATTCAGTCGACTTTTCTTTACGTTGACTAGGATACCATAGTCGGAAAGGCGAGTAAAAAGAGTGCGAAGATGATTTTCATGTTCGTCAGCATCTCGTGAGAAAATCAGAATATCGTCTATGTAGGGAAAGCAGAATTCCAGTCCGAAGACGACTTCATCTATAAAGCGTTTCGCAGCCCAAACGACATAAATGGTATCTTAAACATAACAAAAGGTGTTGTGATTGCTATTTTCGGAATGTCCTCGACGTTGACGGGAATTTGGGTGTAGGCCTTGACGAGATCAATGATGGAATAGGTGGTGCATCCACGAAGTTGATGTGTGAAATCGTGGATGTGTCGCACTGGATATCTGTCCAGTATGGTTCTAGCGTTGAGGCCACGGTAGTCGCCACAGGGTCTCCAACCGTCTGGTTTCTTTGGAACCATGTTCAGGGGAGAAGACCAGGGTCTATCTGAGCTAGGCGATCAGGGGCAAGACGTCGAGGGCGGGAAGAAACGTGGAATGGCGGACCTCTCGGAACGTTCCAGCAGGGCGAATGAGCGCAGGAAACTCTGACAGGATGGTGTTGTCAGGCGAATCGGGAATAATGGCCTTGATGCTGACTTGGGGAATGCTGACTGACTGGCAAGAAGTGGAGATGCCAGTGATGCTGTCGATGAGGCGTTTATTGCAGCAGTCAGGTGGAAGTCCGAAATGCGCCAGAAAATCGGATCTAAGGATAGGAACACTCACGTCGACGATGACAAAATTCCAAACACAGGTACGTCGAAGTCCAAAATTTAAATTTAGTGTTAAAACGCCAGGTATGGATGATGGAGTTGTTGGCAGCACGGAGTTCGTAGCTGACACGGCATCGACGATCGGCGAGAAATGTCCGAGGAAAACAACAAATGTCGGAGCCTGTGTCTAATAAAAATGTATGTTTTGTCGTACGGGCTAAAACAAGGAGGTGGCGTCACTGACTGCCGTTGGAGTTTGTTGAAATGAACGAACAGGGTTGGGTGCACTTGGTGGCTTGGTTGACGAAACGTCGGTGATACCAACAGACGGTTCTGGATGTGGAATTTGCAGACGAAGAACGGTTGCGACGATCACCCGATGAAGTGTGGTTTCGTGATCGAGAGTGACGGTTGATTGATTTTATCTCGATCTGAATTTCAGAAATCTGACGTAAAAGTTCGTCCAACCGCTGGGAAAATGGGTCGAATACGGTTGCAGGCGGAGTAGAAATGGCATGGACCGCACCAGAGGTGGAGGATGCGAGTAGTAATGTATTAGGCTGTACCTCTATAATCTTGTCATCTGTGATAGCAATTGTGTCGGTGCTGAGGCCGGTTTTTCCACTTTGAGTCTAGAGAAGAATCCCCTGGACGTGGACAGAAAGATGCTGCATCCACACGGTGCGAAGAAGGTTATCATGGACTGTGGCGCAACCTACCAAGGATCGCAGATGACGGAGAAACTGGGATGGGGTAAGATCGCCAAGCTCCTCTTCCATTAAAAGCTGGCGCACACGACGCTCTTCTGACACTGACATGCGGCGAATAATTTCTGTCTTTAATGTGGTATATGGTGTGTCAGCAGGTGGATTGGTGATAAAATCTTCAACCTAATTTGCGGACCTTTCGTCCAGGTGTGAAATCACGTAAGAATATTTGGTTATTTCCTGGGTGATATAGGCGATCATGAATTGTGCTTTGAGCTGAACAAACCAGAGGTTCGGCTTGTCCTTCCAGAAAGGCGGAAGCTTCACAGTAACGCGATGAACTTCTGAGAAAGGTGGCTCAGTTGCTTGACAAACCTGTTTTTTTCCTTCGCCTTGCTGAATTTATTGAATTTATTGAATTATATTTTACAGTTATTGTCGAAATCTTATTTATTTTCCTCTCCCTTGTTACGGTCGCCACAAAATTATTGTTTTTTATTTAGGGCTAGTATTTTTTACGGATATTCTAGGATTCCATAAAAAAAATTTGTTGTCTTCTGTTTTGCACCATTTTAATTAAATATTCCTCAGTATACTTCTAAAAGTTTTTTTACTATAATTAACTGGTATGTAGCAGTCATAATCCCGTTGCTTTTTCATAAAAGTGTTAAATTCGTGAACAATACTTCGGATTGCATGCTTTTTAAGGAGATGTTCGTTGCCGCCATAGCCCTGTCTCGTAACTATAATACATCAACAACAATTTAATATAAGTAGTAATGCCTGCTACATTAAAATCAGTTCAAATTACGAGCTCAAAGCGACTTTCAGCTTTGACTCTACTCGATGTGCCTTCTCGACAAACCAACTGGTAACTTATTTATACTTTGAATATTGTTTTTATTGTTTGCCTTTTTTAAAATTAATTTCCTTCAGGAATTAATTTATTTTTGAATTAAAATTCAAGTGATTGAATTTATTTTGAATTAAACTTCGAAAGATTGGTAGTCGATTTATTTTTTTGATATTTTATAATCGTTTGTAGAACGAAAATTTAAGTGATTGAATTTATTTTGAATTAAACTTCAAACGATTAAAGTTGAATTATTTTTGATATTTTAAAACAGTTCGTAGAACTAAACTTGTAATAAATTCAAGTGATTGAATTTATATTTGAATTAAAATTTGCACGAGTCGAATTTCGATTAAAGGAAAAGAATAACTTTTGGTAAACAATATGACCATCGACAAGAAGAACCTGAAGAACTTAAACAAAGTGAGGGATACTTTGATCAGGTCGTTCAAATTCCAACTCCAAGCACGCAGACGTACGTACTGGGTATATCGCTGTGTAGCTGTGGCTCCCAATGGAGAAGTTGTTGAAGACTTACTCAATCAACAGTAAGTCTGGATAGTAAGGTGGCCAATCCTTGCTATGCCCACTACGCGCTCAGCTTCCAAAATAGCGAAGTTAAACGAGGTTACTGAAGTTTCCAACGTGATCAAGGCTTCTGTGGACGTCGTCTTCGAAGACATCGATTTGGTTTCCGAGGTATCTAATAAGAATTTAGAATTAGTTGGAACTGCTGACATGGACACTGTTGCCGATAAATAAATCGCGTTCGACGCTACCAGACGGATCTTCATGTGCCCCAGGTTCTCCAAGGGGCCCAATCTGGACCAATATTGCATAACAAAGCTGCTAGCGTTTATTTCAACACTTCAGGTGCATGTAGCACATTACCATCAGCCCAAATGGATCTTCTATCAGCAAGCGGCCTTCAAGAAGAACCAAGAGGACGTCATTCCTTGCACCAACCGATCCAATCACAACAATCGTTATCGAGAAGCTCTGTTTTTAACCAATCAAATTCAAGGAAATTGTAGCGTTTAACACTTCAGGTGCATGTAGCACATTACCATCAGCCCAAATGGATCTTCTATCAGCAAGCGGCCTTTAAGAAGAACCAAGAGGACGTCATTCCTTGCACCAACCGATCCAATCACAACAATCGTTATCGAGAAGCTCTGTTTTTAACCAATCAAATTCAAGGAAATTTTAGGAAAAAGAAACGATTTCTATTGGTCGTTACAAAATTTAAGAAACTTTTGTTTTCAACCAATCAAAAATGGCTTTACTAAAATTTAAGATTTATCAAATGACCATATTTGGTCATTCGAAATTTCAAAGGTTCTATTTTGTTCTAGAAACGTTGTGTTCGTGACCAAATAAGGTAATGAAACGAGATTCCAAATATTATTGTTTTCAAATTCCTCTCAATTTAATAAATATAGTAATGCCTGCTGCATTAAAATCAGTTCAATTTACGAGCTCAAAAGCGACTTCCAGCTTTGACTCTACTCGATGTGCCATCTCGACAAACCAACTAGTAACTTATTTTTACTTTGAATATTGTTTTATTGTTTGCATTTTTTTTTAATTAATTTCCTTCGGGAATTAATTTATTTTTGAATTAAAATTCAAGTGATTGAATTTATTTTGAATTAAACTTTGAAAGATTCGTAGTTAATTTATTTTTGAATTAAAATTCAAGTGATTGAATTTATTTTGAATTAAACTTCGAAAGATTCGTAGTTGATTTATTTATTGGATATTTTAAATCCGTTCGTAGAAAGAAAATTCAAGTGATTGAATTTATTTTGAATTAAACTTCAAACGATTGAAGTTGAATTATTTTTGATATTTTAAAACAGTTCGTAGAACTAAACTTGTAATAAATTCAAGTGATTGAAATTATTTTGAATTCAAATTCGCAGGAGTCGAATTTCGATTAAAGAAAAAGAATAACTTTTGGTAAACAATATGACCATCGATAAGAAGAAGCTGAAGAAGTTAACCAAGGTGTAGTGACAATAGGTCATTACAACACAAATTGCTTAAGCAATTATATGTAGTTAATATAAACATAAAGTAGGTTGCAACTCCGAAATACCGATCAATTAGCAGAATCATCAATAGGCAACAAGTGACGTATTGCTGACTTGCAACCATGTTTTATTTTAGTAATAGTTTAAATTAATAAGCATTGTTAAGACACCTTTGGTACAATGAATCAATATACCTGTTAGGAGAGATTGGTTTTTCACTTAACCCTCCTAATGTACCAGATCCGTGAGTACCCACATTACATGGCGATCCTGCCACCGAGAAAAAAGTAGTTAGTGATATGTGCCAGTAAAATAAATAGTTTAAGAAGATCAAATAGTAGCAGTTGAATATACAGGGATGGAGAAAATAGTGCCAGTTAAAATAAATAATTAAAAGTAAGAAGTAATAATACCAAAATGGGGAAGTCAAACTCGAAACCAGATAAACCTTCTATAGAACAATCCGGAGTGATCGCAGGCGGAAAAAACTATATAAGCGAGACCTACATAGAATCCATTTCTGTTGGTGAAATATGCGGCATAATAGCAACAATTGGGGTCACAATAATATTGCTGGTAGGAGTACTTTGGTTATGCTGGAAGAAAATAAATAAAAACGTCAACCGTCGCATAGAAAGAGAAATAGCCAGAAGCTGTGAACTCCTAAACATCGCGCAAGGAACCACCAGAAACCCTTAGAAGCGGTGCATCGGAAGTGAAAGTGAATTGCGGGATGTTACAAGAAGAACTACACAGTGACATCGTCAAATTCGGAGTTAATTTGAAAAAAGACAGCGAGGCGAGAAGACAAGATAAGGACATTGTAGATCGTAAGTTATTAAAATTAAGAAATTTTGTAGAGTTAGCTGAAAAATTTAGGGAATTTTATAAAAAAGAACAAAAAGATAAAAAATCAAAAGATGAACCAGTTATATTAGCGTTAATTAAGTCAATTTTTAAAAACATAGAGGAATGTTCGGTTATTGTAGAGGAAAGAAATAAAAATATTGTAAAGATTGTTCAAACAAAAAACGTAAATATGGCAAATTTTGATTTTAAAACCGCGGCTAGCTTGCTGCCATCCCTAGATGGTAATGCAGAAACAGTTAGAAAATTAATTAAGGGTATAAAATTGTACGCTCCCAGCGTAAATGACGAAGGTAAAAAACAAATTGTTAATTTTGTGCTAAATGCTTGTTTGTCTTCTCAGGATAGTATTAGAATGAAAGAAGAATATGGCTCTACTGAGTTATTAATAAGTGATCATAAGACGAATTTTCTTACTCGCCAAAGCCCGGATGTTTTAGCGGCGCAGTTTCATGCTGCAAAGCAAGGTAATGCTTCGTTAGAAGAATACGGAAAAAAAATTGAGTCGTTAATGGCGGAATTAACCTTATCACAGGCGAACGATAATAGTGAGGTCTTACCAGTTTTTAGAGCGTATAACGAAAAAACCGCAATTAACATTTTTGCTCGCGGTATTCGAAATCCAGAGTTAAGACTCACTATGAAAGCTCGTCAATTTAGATCGTTAACCGAGGCTATAAATGTAGCTAGAGGCGAAAGTTCATTAGAACAACAGGGCCCTTCGGTATTCTTCGCAAATAAGTCAAATTTTAGAGGCAATAGTAATAATTTTAGAGGTAGATATAATCTTAGAAGCAATAGCAATAATTTTAGAGGTAATAGTACTAGTTTTAGGGGTAGAGTTAATAATAACAATAGGGGGTTCAGTAATAATAGCGGTTATAATCAAAGGAATTATAACTTTAGTAATAATAATAGATATAACAATAATCATAATAGGGGAAACGGTAATTTTAGAAGGGGTTCAGGAAACGGAAGCCGTAGAGTACTAGTTGCAAGAGAGCAAGAAAGTACCGAACGCGGTGACCAGTTTTTTCGTTCCCAACGCGAGTAAAAAACTAATTTTAAGTATAAATGGTCTAAATTTCGTTAAAATAAGGTACGGTAACAAAGACGTTGACCTTTTGGTGGACACTGGAGCATCTGTTAGTATATTTTTTGAAGAAAGCTTAGTAGACAATTTACAAAACATTAACCGCGTAGATAAAACAAATATTTCAGGCATATCGGGTATTGTTGAATCGAAGGGATCAGCGTATATTAAATTAAATTTTGAAAAATTTTCAATCCAACAAAAATTTATAATAATTAAATCTTTTGACAAAAATATAGATGGTATATTAGGTTCAGATTTT